AGGGTAGCCAAGAGATAGCATCATCTGGTCTCCCTAGGTCAATAATATTTTGGCACCTATAAATGTTCTTCTGAGGCACCAAATTCACTGGCATGTATATAGGGTGCCAAAACACCATGAATGAGCAATACATGGCAAGAGTCCAAGGGCCCTTCCACACAGACATATAGCCCAGAATACCACGGGAGATAATCTACAATATCTATTTTGAACGGGGTTATCTGAGCCCACACTGCCATATAGTTCAGTTCAATGTGGACTTTATACAGCTGTGTGGAAGCGGCCCAAGATGACAAAAATCCTGACATTCAAATTCTACATGCTAGGAGAAGCCAGCACAGTCAATCAAGTCTTTTTATTTTGGATTTTTCAAGCAATTAGGAATTTTACCAAAATGATATGAACTACAGCTTGTCTTGTTTTATTACATTTGGCCAGATGCACCTTTCCTTGCCCATTCTTATTCTCTTTACCGTTTCTGTCCATAGACGTGTTCCATTGTCTTCCAATCTTTCCTTCATTCTTCTGGACTATTTGGGCCCCTTTCTTAAGAAGCCGAAAGGGGAAAGGAAAGGGCCTGAGGCTGTTAGGAGTTGAAGTCCAAAATACATGGAGGGCCAAAGTTTGCCTATGCCTGATCTGCACTGTAAATTCAATGCAGTTTGGCACCACTTTAACTACCATGGCTCAATGCTATGAAATTATGGAGGGTTTAATTCTACAAGGTCTTTAGTTGTCTCTGCCAAACAGGACTAGTGCTTCACCTTAAATTATTATTATTTTACCCCCACCAATGTCATCATGAGCTATCTGTGAACTAAATATTAGTTATTAAGATGTTTGAAGCTGTTGAGCATTAGCATGGTAAGAATTTAACATTTTTGCTTTGTTTGTACACTGCTATCTTATACGGCTCTCAGGGTGTGACTCATCCACATCTTAAGGCAACATGCAGGGTCAAAAATATTATTTTTTCAAGTTCAAGTTTATTCTGTAATAAACAATCAGCCTCTTCCATGCAACCACAAAAACAAGCCAGTATCATATTCAGACATAATTAGAATGCAATAGTTCAATTGTTAATTGAAACACACAAAATAGATCTGATGTGATATTTTGTCTCTCTTTATCAATGCTAACTGTATAGTCTTAACCATTTGATAGAACACATACTTTATATCTGCTTTGATAATCTGGGTTTATATGGCAGTGTAGAAGGGGCTTTCGAAACTAATGGCTGCTGTCAGTAATAGGCTAGATGAGGGAAACAAATTTAATCCCAGAGAAGCCAAAGCCCGTTCTACACTGCCATATAATCAAAAATCCACATTATCTGCTTTGAATTATATTATATGAGTCTACATTGTCAGATAATCCAGTTTAAAGCAGAAAATCTGGATTTTATATAGCAGTGTAGAAGGGCTAAACAGAAACAGCTTCCTTGAGATTGTATGGAAAGGAGAGCTGTGTGCCATCAGGATTTATGCCTCTGTATTGTTCTCATATATCATATGTATTAAGAAGATGCTACATTTGTGTGTCGAATTCATTGGGGCCCCTTCCACACAGCTGTAGAAAGTCATCATCGAACTGGATTGTATGGCAGTGCGGACTCAGATAATGCAGTTCCAAGCAGATATTGTGGATTATCTGCCTTGATATTCTGGGTTATGTGGCTGTGTGGAAAGGCCCTTTGGATGCATCTACTGTAGATTAATGCCATTCGGTACTGCTTTAAATGCCATAGTTCAAGGCAATGGAATCATGGGAGTTGTAGTTTTACAAGCTCTACCAAATTACAAATCCCATGATTCCATAGCAATTAAAGTGGTGTCAAACTGCATTTGTTCTATAGTATGGATGCACCCTAGGTCAGAATGCTGGAGTTGCTATTTAACAATTTAATTTAGTTAGAATGATAATTACTATCAATCTTCATTATGCTTCTATTTAGTAAGATGAAATCTTCCCCTCCAATATTGACATCATCTGTGTTACTGCCATTGATTTAGCTGTCAATAGCATTTTACACCCAGTATTTCTGTTTATTAGAGAGGTTTCCAATTAAAAATTGGCTGAAGTAATGATGTCAGAATATTTCCTTGAAAAATCACACAGCCTGGTTGGGAGTGCCAACTATATTTTCTAAGAGAGGAAAACAACTGCATAAATCAGTAGGATATTTTCCAGCAATGTTATCTCAGTGCTTTTGATTCCCAGTGGAAACTGAACAATAGTCATAATAATCATAATTCTTCTAAAGAAACAGCTGCAAATTATTTTTTCACCAGATGTCTTGACCAATACAATGGTACTGAAAGAATAAAAATGTTTGATTTATTTCAGTAAATTGTTGATTGCTGGCAACTCCATGAATTTTGAAGGGTTTTCTAAGGCAAGGAATTCTCAGGAGTGATCTGTCACTTTCTTTCTTTGAAATATAACCTACAGCATCTGGTCTTCATGGATGGTCACCCATTCAACTATTAACCAAGGCTGGCCATGTTTAGTTTGCCAATAGCCAAGCAGATCTGGTGCTTTTAGGGCATATATGCCTACTCCCATATAATTTGCAGCTATGCCCCATAAAACATTTTTAAAAAACCTCTTTACTTTAAAATGTAATATATCCAAGCATTGTAAAGCTATTAAGTATACACAGGGTAAATATTTAAACAAGAAAAAGTAAAACGCAGCAAGTCTTAGTCTGATACAGATCTCCATCAATTCTCCTCCTCTCAGGATGGATCTACGTTGCCCTATACCCCAAGATTTGATCCCAGATTATCTGTTGATCTGAGATTATCTGGTAGTGTAGACTCATATAATCTGGTTCAAATGAGATGATCTGGGATCAGATCCTGGGATATAGGGCAGTGTAGATCCAGCCTCAAATGTTGAGAGAAAGCCTCTCCATTAACCACAGATTGCCATGCCATCTAGAGCAGGTAACTGTGAGTAATATTAACTGTGCCAAAGTGGGTTTTTAAAACCCACTTTGACACGAATTTGCATCCCCACAAGCCCCAAAAAATCTGGGCTTTCCTGGGGGGGGGGTGTACATGCCATGCCAATTGAAATTGGGGTGGCTGTCCAAATGGTCCCCTTGCTACCATAACATTCCTCCTTACGCATCCTGACTTGAGGAATTGACATGCCAGGAGACATGCCCCCCCCCCCCAATCTCCTGGCAAATTACTTTCTTGAGTCAGGAGGGCGTAAGGAGGAACATTATGGTGGCCAGGTAAGTTTAACCCTATTTTTAGCGGTACATTTGGGATTTGGGAGAAGGGGGTGCATGCCCTCTCAGTTTTTAGATGGCTGTGTGGATTGGGTCTGGGAATCGTGTGACATGATTCCTGGGTCCAATCCACAGAGGGCCCACACCTGGTAAATCCTGAATTTTACCTTTAGATATGGATATTACCAGGTATTTAGCTAATTTGGCTTAACCAAAAGCATCGTCTGGATGCCTCTGGTAAAGCTGAGACAGATCCCACACTATGGGTCTGTCTGGATGGGCCCTATGTGTAGTATTGAAATGAATTTCAACCCATGGTTTCTAATGCCAGTTTTAGATTGAAGTTTCCATGTCAGTGTGACAAAGATTGGATCTAAATTGCCCTATGTACCAGGATCTGATCCCAGATTATCTGCTTTGATATGAGTCTACACTGCCAGATAATATGGGATAAGAAGATAATCTAGAATCAGATCCTGGGATACAGAGAAGTGCAAATCCAGCCAGAGTTTAGTAAGTACTTTGAAAGAGTTATCCAAGGTTGTATCTACACTGCCATATAATGCAGTTTCCGAATGCAGGTTAACTGCATTAAACTAATTTAATGCAGTTAATCCACATTCTGATACTGCATTGAATGCACTTAACATGCATTCTGAAACTGCATTATATGACAATGTGGATACAGCCTATAGTTTCTAACTCTTAGCAATTCACTATCCCACTGACATCAGCCTCAAATTGTTAATGTTATTTTTTATCTAGAGAACAAAGGAAGTTAAAGTTAATTAAAAGTAAATGTAAAAAAAAAGATTCTAAATGTATAGCCCATTTCAAAGGGAGCAGTTGTGTTAAGTCTACGTTACAAAAAAATTAAACCAAACAAGAATCTTATAAAACCTTAAAGAATAAAGCTTTCATCACAAAAGAACTGCTCGCAAACGGGTACTGTCTTATGCTAGCAAGTAAACTAGCTATTGTTTTGTGCAGGTATTTATAAAACAAGTCTACAGTCTCACGTACGATATCCTTCAATTGTAATTTTCCATAAGCAAAACCGTTCTCTGGAGAAAACTCATCACACAAAATTACAGAAGATACAGATCACAGAAAATTTGAACTACTGGAAGAGAACAATGTACTTTCTGAAATGTTTATCTCTGCAAAATCTCTTAGAGAAACCGAAAACATCACCAGAACTAAATTGTCTAGATGGCCAAAAAATAAACAATAACATATTTCCATCTTATGCTGGACTTCTGAGCATTGAGCAGGCACAAAAGTAGTCAAACAGTAGTTTGTTGTGGCATCAGAGCTCTCTGGCAGAAAAGGGAAAATATCCCATGACACTTAATGTGGTCTCAAACTGCTATAATTCTGCAGTATTGATATAGCCTTTGCCATCAAATGCTTATTCAAACTTAAATTAAAATAAAACTAAAAAATTAAATAATAATAATAATAATAATAATTATTATTATTATTATTATTTGCCACTTTTTCCCTTAAAGAGAATAAAAATATCCCAGGAGTTGTAGTTTAATGAAGCAACAACAGAGAAGGGGAAATATATTACATAACTACAACTTCTATGATTCAATAGCACTGAGTCAAAGCAGTTAAAGTGGTATTAAACTACATTAATTCTACAGTGAATACACCCTGAGAGTGAGACTTGCTACCTGTATAATTGACAACTGGGAAGAGGTTTGTTGAACATAAGAATAGGATCTTGGCAAGAAACAGCCCTGATAATTACCTTCCATTGCTCTCTTGAAGAAGACTTTGCAGCTTCCACAGGTGAGGACTCCATAGTGACATCCTGAAGCTTCATCACCACAGATAAGACAGATCTTCTGAGGCAATGATTCAAAACCATATTGGGGGCTCTGGCCAGGTTCTGCATCTGACCTAAATAGAAGACAAAAAAGGGAAGGCATTAAAATGGAAGGCATTGTGGCAGAACATGCCCCCCCTCCTCCCGCTAAAAAGTTACATAACCACTTTTAAAATATTTATGTAAAGCTGTTTAGCATAGCATGAATGCTTGTCAGATAATTGATGTATAAAAACAAGCATTGATGAGATGTCAGCAAACCTAAAATGTGAAAAGCAATTCTACCATTCTGCAGGCTGTCTTCCACCTCACTGTTTGCTCAACTAGGCTCTGATATTAGAGTGAGCTCAACTGGGGGGAAAAGATATGCACTGGATATATTTATCAGGACATTGCATGGACATATGCGACCAATGGGTATTAGCAAACCCTACTGAATGGGTGATATTTGGTGGAAGCATAACATAAAGTTGTGTTGGAGGACCTAGGAAATATCTAGGGAGGATATCTCTCTATACATCACTAGGTCCTCTAGTATGATTTTATGGTCACTTTCCAGCAGAAGAACATCACAGAATTACCTGAAGGACCTAGAAAATGCATAGCAAGGGCATATTTTGTCAGATGTCAATGGAACTGAAAGTATCAGTTCCACCAATACCAAGGGGTGATGTCATGTGGTGAGAAACAACAGAAAGGCATAATTGACCACTTGTTTTAAAAATACTCTTCCTATCTGCTTTATATTTGGAAAAGATTTACACATAAAGAAAGAGTTCTGCTGATATCTCAAAAGTTATGGTTCTAAATTGTACTAGGGCTTCTAGAACAAGAAGCAGTGTGTTCTAGTTTGATGATATTTTCTTTTTGACTCCTAGGCTTTAGAATCATCAACTTCACAAACAGAAGCTAACTTGATAAATAGTCTCAGCATGCAAAAAATTAACACGTAAAGCTAATAAATCAGGTTATGGGCTGTGCCGTCACACCCAGACCCTATAGAGTTAAAACTAAGATGTGCTTCTCTCTTTATCTGTGCTGGGGGGGTCTTTCTTTGAAGCAATAACTCAATACTTTCAGCAACTGATGCCAGTCAAGATATGAACATCAACAAAATATTTATTTCCAAAGTCCTTGGAAGACTTGGCACAGCTTGATAAAGTTACAACACAAACAGCCAATTTGGGAGACCATAGAGATGTTCTTTCCTTTTCCTTCAATTACTGAGGTAACTTTTCTCCAAATGGTAGAAAAATCCTGGGATCTTTCACCCTAACCCTGAGCTGCTATGGTTAGAAAGAACAGGTCTTCCCCTATCTAAGCTCAAGGTTAGCTTTGAAGATGAAGTAATGCTCAACCTTTTTTTTTTTGTTTGGACAGGGGCTACTTGACCAGGGACCATTCTCCAACATTATTACCAAAACAGTTACAAATTAGTTTTTGGTCAACTTTAGATTTGGTTTGGTTATTTGGGATGCTGATTCAGAAAATTGCACAGATCACATCAGCTCTAGTTTCTGATACAAATGCCATCCAGTAGTCAACATCTGCTTGCCCACAGAAAACCATATTTAATAAGCCTTGGCACTATAAGAGGGCTTTGCTAAACCAGCCACTCTCGTTGCGATGGTGAGGCCACAGACCATATTTTAGTTCTTTCAGACCATTGGTGGTCCACAGATCATGGGTTGAGAACCACTGCTCCAGAGTCATCTTCCAGTGCTTACACAATTACATCACACTGGCTTCCCGACACTTCATTACCTGCCAATTAAAAATATTTTCCACATGGATTACCCAACAAAGGATGCCTTGAATGAGTATACTGTTTTAATTGTGAAACCTTAATACAGGTTGAGCATCCCTTATCTGGGATTCTGAAATACAAAGTACTCCAAAATTGAAAGTTGTCCATTTAGGTGTGTGATAGTGACACCTGTGCTTTTTGATGATTCAATGGACTTCATACCCAAAAGTATTCAATTTTTTTTAATATAAGTACTTTCAAGCTATGTGCATAACCTGTCTATGAAACATGAGTGGATTTCATGTTTAGGCTTGGGTCCCATCTCCAAGATATCTCATTAAGTATGTGCAAGTACAATATTCCAAAATGGGGGGGGGGGTCAGAAATACAGAATACTTCTGGTCCCACAAGGATATATGACCTAGGAGGCGTCTACAGACAATGCAGGCCAGGGGTCCACAAACTTTTTAAACAGAGGGCCAGGTCACAGTTCCTCAAACTGTTGGAGGGCCGGATTATAATTTGAAGAGAACATGAATGAATTCCTATGCATACCACATATCTTATTTGTAGTGCAAAATCACTTAAAAACAATAGAATAATTAAAATGAAGAACAATTTAACAAATATACACTTATTAGTATCTCAATGGGAAGTGTGGGCCTGCTTTTGGCTCATGAGATAGGATTGTTGTCGTTGTTGTCGTGTGCTTTCAAGTCGTTTCAGACTTAGGTTAAACCTGAGCGAGGGCCGGGTAAATGACCTTGGAGGGCCGCATCCGGCCGCCGGGCCTTAGTTTGAGGACCCCTGACGCAGGCTCTTCAGTTTCAAACTGGAGATGAGCAGCACCCCCAAGAGCCGGAGATGAGCACCACCCCTCAGAACCAGAAGGGGAAGCCGCCTTTTACCCTTATTTGTGTCATCTGTTTCTAGGCATTGGATGGAGCCCCCAGTGGTGCAGTGGGTTAAACCCCTGTGCCGGCAGGACTGAAGACCGACAGGTCGCAGGTTCAAATCCGGGAAGAAGTGGATGAGCTCCCTCTATCAACTCCAGCTCCTCATGTGGGACATGAGAGAAGCCTCCCACAAGGATGATAAAAACATCAAATCATCTGGGCGTCCCCTGGGCAACATCCTTGCAAATGGCCAATTCTCTCACGCCAGAAGCAACTTGCAGTTTCTCAAGTTGCTCCTGACATGACAAAAAAAAGGCATTGGATATTTGCCTTTGGGTTTGTGTATGTTAGAATCCACCCTGAGTCCCCTTAGGGAGATATGGTGGAATACAAATAAAGTATTACTATTATTACTCTACCTGTATTGCCAGATTAATAAAGATTACTCCTGAAAAATCTTCACAGATATAGCCTTTTTATACTAAAGCAAACTAGCACAGCTATTGTGCTAAAATAAATCAGTCTCTTCACTTTTGATAATGAAACAGATTTAAATAAATGACCTAAAATATTGAACTAAAATATGTTCAATAGATTCCAATCAATTAAACAAAGAGAATGTTTTTATTACTATGGTACCTCTTACTACAGCTGTTTGAATAAAACAAATTCTTTCTTGGAAACGTCTCTTCCTTCAAGATAGATATCTTTCAGGGGTGTTCTTGAGCAAGTTACACCCTTTCAGTCTAGACTCAGAGGAAAGCTAAGGCAAATTCCTTCTGAATGAATAATAGGGTTTGCCATATGGCAGGGATGACTTTAAGGCAACAGCAATTGGACCAATTCCCCAGAAACATGGTTGTGTCCCATTCTCTGGAAGTCTTCAAAAAGAGATTGGACCTATGAGGGATGTTCTGGCTGGAGATCCAAGCATTGAGAAGGAATTGGACTTTATGGCCCAGGAGGACTCTTTTCAACTCTTGTGATTCTATGAACAAAAACAAACAGAATGTACATGCAGTTTTCCCACCTCAAAGACAACAGGCCAGAGAGCCGCTTGAAAGACCTGCAGCTTCTTACATAACCCTTTAAAAGTATATTGCCAATTGCACAGTTTATATCGTCCTGAATTCCACTGCATTCTGATCAGACTCTCACAAGACTGCAAATGTCCTTAAAATACCAGAGGTTTGGATATTGTAATCCATCAATGTTTCAGAAGTGGTCTGAAACTTATTAGAGCTCGTGCTAAAACAAAACAGTCAGTTTTAAAGAGCTCACTAGATTATTTCTGCTGAAAAGGGATTCAAACACTGGTTGCAGAAGGTGCAAGGCAAGGATGTGGATCATTTCAACAGAGAATTAAAATCTGGTAGACGAAACAAATCAGTGTGGAGGTGGATCATTGTGAAAAGGATTTAAAATCTGGTAGCAGAGGAGGAGAGGCAAGGATATGGATTGTTGGGAAAGAGATTTAAAAGCACGAAAGCAGGAAGGAGGCAGATTGTTGAGAAAGACATTTAGAATTTGGTAGTAGGAGAGAGGCAAAGATATGGATCATTGGATAGAGATTTGAAAACCGGCAGCAGGAGAGCTGCAAGGAGTTGGCTCATTGGGAAAGGGTTTAACATTTTGTAACAGCAGGAGAGGCTAGGAGGCGGACTGTTGGGAAAGAGGTTGAAATCAGGCAGAGGGCCCTTCCACACAGCCATATAACCAGAATATCAAGGCAGATTATCCACAATATGTATTGTCAAAAGCTTTCATGGCTGGAATCACTGGGTTGTTGTAGGTTTTTTTGGGCTATATGGCCATGTTCTAGAAGCATTCTCTCCTGATGTTTCACCTGCATCTATGGCAAGCATCCTCAGAGGTTTTGAGGTCATAATATCCACAATATCTTCTTTGAACTGGATTATCTGAGTCCACATTGCCATATAATCCAGTTCAAAGCAGACAATGTGGGATTTTATACAGCTATGTGGAAGGGGCCAGAGTCCTCGTGGTAAAAAAGTGATCAATGGAGTGGAGGCAGGCAATTTTTACAGTACATAGAAGGGCTGGCAAAGAGCAGAGGACTGTTTGGTGGAAGGACAACAATGCAAATACAAGTTATGAACAAGATAGGTTCTGTAGGTTTGTTCTTAAATTGAATGTGTCTGTAAGTCAAAAAGGTATCTTTTTAAGTGTAACTCCATACACACAAACACACACACAAGTTTTGGATAGCATAGTGAAGGGTTAACAATGGTGTTTGTTTTGCTGTCTGTGTCCCTGTTCAGAAGATTTCACCTCACTTGCTCTTCTTGTGATAACTGGATTTTAAAAAATTGGGCTTTTTGTGTAAACAAGCTTTGGTGAGAAAGCTTCAGAGGAGTCCCCCCCCCCCCCAAATTGATAACTCTTTCAGAAGTGAATTTCCCTTCGGAGG